ATTTCCAGCTGTCCAACATGGTATTTACCCCCTAGGTACAAACCCTGAGTGTCCCTCACCCTGTCCTGCTCCCAAGAGATGCTGCCATTATCACTGCACGCATCCCCCAGCATGAACCAGTGTGCGTAGGGCTGAAGGTAGAGCAAAGGCTGCCCCAGGGTGCAGCAAAGGCTGATGGCCAGGCAAGAATGGGTGGGTGGATGGATGGATGGATGGATGGATGGAAGAAGGCAGGGACGGAAGAATGGGGGGAGGGAGGGAGGGAGGCAAGAATGGATGAGTGGGTGGGTGGATGGGCAGACAGCTGGACACGTGGACCTTGAGAGACAGTGTCATCATGGGTGCTGCTGGAAAGGGGAAGGACTGCACAGGCCAACGTGCTGGAAGGATCCAACCTTCACTTTAGTCTTCGCTTCCTCCAGCCCTTGCCAGCATCTTCATGAAGCCCAGTCCCCCAGCCTGAGGGGTGTTATCTGATCCTGCCCATCTGACCTCTCCAGGGAACAGGCAAGACCTTCCTGCTCTGCAAACCCACAGACACGACAGGGCTCTCCATCTCGGTCCAGGGAGGCTAGCGTCTAAATATAGATTGCATCAGGAGGTTGACACCAAAGAGATCAAGCAGAGGCTTTGAAACCTGCGCTGTAGAAAGCAGGCTGCTGTGAAGCCCTCGGGAAACAACCCAGACTCAGTACATACATCATGGCTGCCAGTGCTGTGCCGGTGCCCTGGCACTCTGCTGTGCCCTGCTCCCCTCTGACACAGCCCCGTGCCACCTGTGTCTGGCTCCAGGGTGGTCCCACAGCCGGGGGATGCCCTGTCTCGGGCTGTCCTCCCAGTTGGGCTCTGAGAAGGGGCAATTCCCATTGGAAACTGGATGATGGGGCTCAGCAGAGGTGCTTGAGCAGGGATTTCCCCCTGTCAGAGGAACTGAGCCCCAGTCCTGGCACTTAGGTGACTGTGGAGGGAGAAGGGAGCAGGGGAGAAAGTTTTCTGCACCAAACTGGCCTTTCAGGAGCCATCAGGAGATGGGTTGTGGTGGCTGGGCCCTGCTCTTGCTCACACCAGGCCAATTTGGCACTCTGAGGATGTCCCAAGGTGTCCCTTCCAGGCTCTGACTATGTTTCCCTCCACAGCAGCCCACCTCTGCCCTCCCAGCATGCAGGGAGGAGCACCGCTCCCAGCGGCAGGTTGTGAGAGGTTTATAGAGATGCTACAGGGTGTCAAACAGTGGTGAGCCAGGATGCAGCCCCACGCAGGAGAGTGCTTCACTGGTGCTAATACCTCTGGCACAGTGGGATGGAAACGATGGCACGTCAGCTGCCACCAGTGCTACCAGCATCCTTTGTTCTGCCCCTCCAGCTGCTCACACCACAGACCTCAGCAACCTTCCCATGAACAGTGGTGCTTATATTTAGCCAAAGAGCTTCCTCTAAGAGGCAGAGGCGAGAGCTCAGTGGGATGCCAGGGTCCATGGTGCCGGGCAAGAGGGTCCCTTCACACCCTGAGGGTCCTCATGTACACTGTCTCCACACCCCATGCGGTGTCCATGGGGCCACCCATGCCCTCCCCAGCCCCGGGGACACACCACCCTCTGCCAGAGTAGCTGACAGGGAAGGGGGAGGAAGGTAAAAGCAGTGCAGGGCTCATGTTGAGTTCTGCTTCTGCTTTGTAGGAGCAAGCCTGTGATAACGAGAAGCTGCCTTTCCACACCTAGCTACACGCACAGAGACTTCTACGGGGTGGCCCTTGCATACCAGGGACTCCCGCTGCTCCCAGCCTCCCCACAATGGCTTTTGGGGGTGTCACTGGGGGAAAGAAGGACCAGCTTGAGGTGGAGGAAGGGAGTCCCCAGGGAGATGGACCCTCACAGAGCAGGGAGTGGTTATCAGCCTTGCCATCAGGAGTGGGGAAGGACTGAAGGGGGTTGTGAGATATCGGCCTCGGACATCCTCTGTGTGCAAGGTTGGGTAACAGTGGAGCCGGACTAACTGCCAGCTCCACTGCAGCTCTTGCGAAAAGCATTGCATTAAAGACAGCCGGGTTGGTCAGTGGTGAAAGCATGGGCTCCTTGCAGGAGAGAAACCCTCCTGATGCCCCTCTGCCGCTCCAGAACCCACTGCTATCCTGTCTTTCAGCTCACTCCACCTCCCCATCGTCATGGGGCACGAGCAGTGGGATGCGGTGCTGCATCCCCAGCATCCCTGCAGCAAAGGGGAGGGTTTTGTGTTCCCAACATTTCACCCTACCAACCCCAGTGCCAGCCTTCCCATGTCCCCTCATCAGCAAGAACATTTTAGCCTGTTTTCTCCAATTTGGCAGCACCTTCCCAGTACCTGCACCCTGCCCAGTCTTTGGCCATGGTGGATATAGTGAATATTGCCTCTTGCCTGCGGTCAGAGGCAAAAATAGCAGATAGAGCCGAACACACCCGAGAACTTCAAAGATCTCCCTCAGCAGTGCAGCCTTGGGGTGTGGGTCTCAGGGAAGCCTGGTCTCACATGGCAATGCATGTCCGAGGGCTTGTGGTGGGGAACAGGATCGTTGCTGGGAAGGCTAGAGAAGGAACATGAAGGTGTGAGCAGGGAGGGTGGGGGGCAGCCCCCACAGGAGCGCAGAGCCTGGCCGAGGGGCAGGACATGGGGCAGTCAGGCCAGGGGCCAAGCGTGGGACACGGTCATGTCTGGGAAGGGGCAGGACGGGTGAGTGGGAGAGGGTTGAGGACCAGAGGGTTGGCCTGGAGGAGGGACCGGCAGTGGGAGGCGTGGGTTGGGTGCTGTGAAGCCTGCCTGCACGCACAGCAGTTCCTGCAGGGCTGCTGGCCCGTGCCTGCAGGCTGAGTCCTGTGCCTGGCGGGGACACCTTGGTATCACCCTGGAGCCCAGCGTGGGGAGACTGTGGAGCCCAAAGCGGCACTACCACCGTGCTGCTCTGCCGGAGCCGGCCCTGGGGGGTTGCGGACCATGCTGCGGGGTGAGAGGTGAGGGAGAACCCTGAGGGTGGCAAGGGATGGATGGGACAGACTTGGGGACAGGGTGGGGAAGGGCCAGGACCGGAGCAATCCATGCTCACTTCCAGCCCACTGCACTGGCTGGTCCACATGGGTTTGAAGGGACAGGGACGGTGCCCATCTCCCTGTGAAACGCCACTGCCCGTGGGCACAGCCAGACTACCCCAAAGTGCCACAACACAGCCCAGTGCCTGGCATGGCCCTGGTGCCCACTGCCGGGGCTTGGGGGGGTCTCGGGAGGCAGGTCCTCGCAGGAGTTTACCTGCTGCAGCCCCAGGCAAGGCAGGCAGCGGGCAAAGCTGGGCGCAGAGCCCTCAAGGCGATACAGTCACAAGAAAGGGGGAAATCGCCCCATTTCAGCACCAGGCAGAAGCGAGGACAGCCCTTTAACCCTGTGGCAGAGACACCCAGCCCATAGTGCTACGGGACATCACCCTCCATTCCCCCCTGCCCAGCCCTTTGTGTAGGTCCTACGTCAACAAGCAGCCTTCCAGCTGCGATGTCCCCATGCCCTGCTTCCCACACCCTGCTCACCCAGTTTCTGGGCCAGCTCCTGCCATAACTGTCCCTCCTCAATGCACCCCGGCGTGCAGCTGCTCGCCCCATGGGGAGCCCCCCCACGCGTATGGGGTTGCTCACACACACCCCGTACACCCCACACCCACGCATGTGAGAAGAAAGCCCTGTTGTTCATGCGCCCTTGCTGACGGCATCCCCTTCCACGTGTTCCCAGGGCCATCACCGCCTCTGCCAGCCCACCAGCCTGCCCACACTTCCCCATGCCACTCATGCAACCCTTGCCCACACAGGCGGTGGTAGGGAGCAGGCAGATGCCCTCTTAGGGGTACAGGGGCTTGTGCAACAAGGACCCTGGTTCTGTTGTCCCTCGGCTGGCTGGGACACAGCTCCTGTGGGAGGGGGCAGGGGATGCGTGGGAGCATGCAGGCAGCAGGAAGGAAGCCTGCGCCGAACAATAGAGGGAAATGGAGGAACTGGAAAAAGACCCAGTGGCAGCACAGTCAGCACAGATGGTTTAGTGCGGAGCAGCGTGATTCATGGGAAAAAGGCCCTCAGCATTCTGCAGAGAGACTGCAGCTCTGTCCTGCGGCTGTGCCAGTGAAATAATTTGGGGATGGGGGTCCCCAGCAGAGCAGGAGCTGGTGGGTGGGTACCGTGCTAAGAATGAGCCCCGAGTCGTGCTGGTCTGTCTCGAGCTGCGGTTGCCGGCTGCGGGGTGCGTGGGGGCCCGTCCCGGTTGGGGATGGGTGGGAGGCTGTCCCCCCTCTGCTCGCCCATGAGTCATCCTGACCTCTCCCATGCCCTCGCCAGCAGTGAGAGAGAGAGAGATTATGGTCTGGCCCTTCCGGCCGCAGAGCCCTCCCCGAGCTGGCCAGCACAGGAGCTCATCCCCTGGGAGGGGCCCAGCTGCTCCCCCCATTATCTGCCTCTGGCAGCCCCCTCCGCCAGG